CTCAAATTAGTCCACCGGAAAGTATCCACACCATCTCTCAAATGTTTTTCAGAATTCAACAACAAAAAGGTCTTTCTCACTGTTAAACTCCTCTCGGTAGGGCACTTATCACTGTCACTTAAATGTTAAGCATGCCTGGATGCGATAAACCGAATGCATCAGCACGAGTAAAACCAAGCTGTTGTTTTAAGTTTTTTCCATCATGCGAATGTTAAGGTGGGTTTTGGCCTTCGAATTCTGTGTCGAGGGTTTCATGCTAGTCATTACTTGACTTGATCATTTCAATAAGGCCTCTTTCTCGTAATTCATGGGATGTGACTATCATCCAACCAACTATGCGTTGGATTTCCTGTTTGTTACCCCTTAATTACCATAGGCAAGGGGCCTTCTCAACTCATCTCATCCATTCTCAAATGCATTTTAAGCTCATCTTTAGCAATATATCGGGTCAAAGAGAATTGAATTTGTAGGGTTTGAGGAGAATAGCGGTGTGGAGAGACGTGAAGAGAGCTGTGCGTATACGCATGAGAAGTCAGACCACCGACTAATAATTTTGCAACGCTTAACGGAAATGCCGCACATTCACCGCCTCTCCATCACTCTAGCAATCGGGCAAATCGGAGAGGTGAGCATAATAAAGAAAATTAAAATTTAAGGAAACTGGGAAAAACTCTGTTTGGGTAATTGAGCTGGTGCTATGAGTAGACACTGACGGTTATAAATGTGCTATCCACTGATGGGTTCGAAAGTCCTATCTCCTTCTGCTGAGATGAGCAAATTAACTCCAAATAATTACAGCTTTCACTCCTGCACTACACCAGGCCTCAAATTCGTCCAATTCCACCACCTTTAAAAAAGCCTCATTTTGAGTCCCAATCGGGAAACATTAATTGGAAGGATGAGCTCCCATTGTAAGTTCTTCGTTTGGAAATTCGAGATGTTTAATAAGTCGAGAATAGTCAAGGTCACTGTACTAATGCAAGATTCAAATCACGCAATGATCGGATCAAACCCCCAGTCTCCTTGATGTGGAAACTATTCCTGCGTACTCCCGTGAGATCCGCAGTCAGTGCCTTCAAGACAGGATGGTAATAAAGAAGTTCCGATATTATTTCCTGCTACAAGAAACATGCGCAGTTTATGCTCATGTAGAAGGGTGTTGAATTGCCATTGTTAATAGACAATAGGCATGTGGAAATATCGCCAACCTTACATAATGCTCTGACTCTTGAGCGCCCAAATTTTTAATCGCCTTTCCTTGACGTCATGTCTGTAAAAATGGTATCTGAGATAAGGTAAGTAGGCTGATAAACATGTTGTCGTCTCGATGGAGCAAAAGCGAGTATTTATAATTAATTAAAAAGCCTCGACAGCAAGTGAGGAGGTTCAATTTAAGTTGAAAAGGCGAGTCAATCAGGGAAGACCAAGGGTTATCATTGCAGAAGTTGACAAAACGAGGGACTATGGCATTACGCTACGTATTTGATTAAAAAGACGATTAAGGTTGGTATGGTTGACCACAACAACAAACCATTTGTGCGTTTAACAACTGCACTATAGTTGAAGATGAACCACCTTTTCTTCCATTCAAAGATGTTTGGCTAAATTCTACAATAAAATTTTCAACAAGTATAGTGTTTTGGTGCAGCAATCGTCTTGCTCTGTTCACCACTTCCACCTTAGCATCAAGGGTTGTAAAAGCGGCAAGGCGCAAACACACTGTGCCGCCTAGCGCCTCGTAAAGTAGTTTTCTTTGTAATTTTTATGCATCTGTACTAGAAGCTAAACAATTCACAGCATTTAGAGAGACTTTCGAGCACGTGATGTGTGATAGAGGGCATGGAGCCAAATACAATGACAATATAGTGTGAAATTTATTGAAGAGTTACGCTATCATTTACGACAACTTTGCAGACTACGGCAAAGATGCCATTAATATGGACGTCCAAAGTCGCCCGTTCTGGAAGACGTATGTCCTGTTACCCAAACGTTTAGAAAATGAGGAGAACACCATCGCCATTGGGATGTCTTGTCCATGTTCCGGATAGACATCATTGGTCAAGTTGGCGGACATCTCCGATTGGCCAAGTTGTATGTGTATCCAAGTTGGTTCCATCAACCCAAAGCGTATCTTGGGTTTCATTTACTTACTCACCTCCGATTTCTATTAAAGAACCACTTCGGATGATTACCTACGGCGGGGAACAAAATGCCTCAAGGTGGTAGACCAAAATGCATTCATTTAAGAAAGAAAAAGGCGGAAATATCATCGCATTAATTCTGATTCGAAACTCAAGTACGTTAGCCCTATGTTTACTCCATCTTTGATTCGAATCACGTGGTATGTTAAATTCATTATCATAAAGTGTTATCAGTGCCTTTGCAGCTTTGACCTCAGCACCCCAATTTATGTCAAAATGAAGGTCCTAGTCCAGAACAGCGCGTCTCCTTAAACTCTCTTTGATTCTGTAGATAAAATGCACTGTTGCACTATTTCTATGCACGATTGCAATTGCAGTAAGACAATATGTTTATTTGCACGTCCAGAGCAACAGTTAATGTGATAGCCCCGAGCAATAAATCACACTGAAATCTACAAAGGCGTAATTGATATCCACCCGGATGATTCACAGGCCATCTGACGCCACACGCGTCTGGTGGGGCTATACACTGTTTTGCTTTTATTTCGTGTCTATTTGACTACCACTTCCTCCAACTGCAAGCTATTCCTCTTAAAACACTCAAACTGTTCTATCCAATGCGAAATGAGGTGATAAAAAGTCGAGAATTGAGTCTTTTGAATTAAAAAAAACATTCGTTGATTTTGTTCATGCCTCACCATGTTCTAGGTCGGTGAGCTGCGGGCCAGATGTGCTAGAGCTTTTAGAGTTAACTGGCGGCGGCTTTTAAGAACTAGCCCAGCGTATAGAACTCACATCTCAACTACTTTCTCGGTTTTTCGAATGCGTTTACGAATTAGCATCGTGCTTGTTAGGCAAGTTAAAACAGCATGGGATGAGGTGTGCGGAATACACTTTATGCGCGGAAGACTTAAACTTCAATTGCTGCAATGCAGTTGCAGTCTTGGTCTACTACACGTGTGCTTCATTGAGAGCTCTACAATAAGGGCTTGAAGATATTTCTGCAAACCTGTCTCAGTACGATAAAATCCCTGCCTCTTAGTTACAACTCAGACGTCCGAAGTTTGCAGCGAGAGCCTGTGGTTTTAGGACTAAGCATTCGTCCCAACAACGCTCTGCTAGTTGGTCGCCGTTGCTGCAAAATAAATTCATTTTATGTCAGCTTCACCTTCCAAGGATACTATCATATAGGCATTTTTCCATCAGCGCTTCATAAAAACTCTATCTGATGAATCCTTAGGAATCCTTCTCCTTGTTCATCAAAAGATCGGGAAAAAACACTTGTCCACTTTCGGAAAATGGACTACACTTTTACAGGCAATGCAGCTACTCAGGCTATACAAATATATTTAGCTTTTAAGACTTGTGCTGCGATTATCCGGTGATGCGAGGCTACCTGGTGGAAGTCACATAAGTGTACAGAACTCATTGACACTGTCCATTCACCAACACCATCTAGTACAACTTGGTTACACTTTTTCCCTAAAACACCCTCTTTTCTCTCCACACACTATTAAATTCTGCCTTATTCGTCGTACTGCTGGTGTGGTCCAAACGACTTCTATTGCATTCTTGTCAAAAAATCGGTCCTTTGGATATCAGTAGAAAAGTACGAGTTTAGATAGCGATAATTCATTCGGTGTTACCAAAACCATCTTTTAATGGAGTTTATGAAACGAAAAGTTCAAAGAATTTATGATGACATCTGTCGGTTGAGATGCTCTTTGTCGGATCCTAAGTAAGTAACAACTTGTTTGTTTGCTTTTGCATAATCGAGGTTGAAGAGACATCACCGTCCTGGGTGCTGACAGGAGGCAAAAAGCGTCAGCCTCCTTTGAACCCCAGCGTCCATGTTATGCGCCTCTTAATTCTAGCTCTCGCCAGTATTTTCAAAGATAGGCTCCCATACATAGCCAAATAAAACGCCTCGTGAAGCAGAAGCTGGCGACATGAATTATTAATTTTTCTTAGCAAAATACAGCACTCCTATCACGTAAATTATACATAAGGGGAAAAATTAAATGTCTTATTAATACTGGACAAAATTAAAGAGAGATGAGGATCGAAAATTCCCATCACTCCAGTTTAAGTGACTCGTCCTCCTATAAAGCTATGAAGTGTTTCGAGAAATTCACCCACTTTGGGTCTGTCCTGAATCGGTCAAGCGAAAATAACAAATACTTCGAAAGATTAAAGCACAACAATTAAAGTAGAACACTCCCCATTAGTTTTAACAGGGTTACAAGCCTCCGCATTTCACTGGTCCTGCACAAAATTATGCTTCTCCAGCATCGCTATGCATCACCCTTCTAAAAAGTTAAATCGGAAGGGTTTATGATGGTCTGAATTAGTGAGTTGTCCCCGTGGCAGTTGCTCACTCCGATTTGGCGAATTGCTTCATAATGTTGCTGTAAATGATAAGCGTCCGATGTTTTTTGGTCGTTGCCATGGGCAGATTTGTTGCGATCTACTTATTAAAACGACCATACCTGTAAAGCCGTCCAGATTCATCAACTACTTCCTCAAAGTCACAAATGGTATTAGTAAGTCAGTAAATACGGTGTTTTTTATTGACCGACTCACCGATATGCCTTTATTTTATGTTACATTGGTTGAAAGGATCATTCGGACTTAATTGGGTAGTTTTATTCGTTACCTATTCCTTGTAGCTCTGTTATTTTTTTCACCCACTGAATAGTAGTGCAAAATAACAGCAAAGTTAAAACCAGCTCCCACAGGAGACATTGTGCCTTAGCAGCTTTGGAATACACCTAAAATCAACTAATGTTCCAACTTTGATCCTCATCCCCTGAAGTACGCAATGCTGCTGCTGAGGTAGAGGGTTGAGGAAGCGCGTACATGTTTGTACATGGCTTTGTAGCGCTGTTCCTGTGTGCGTTCACATTCCTCCTCAAAGTCCATTCGACGGGCTGCTTCGACCTCGGTGCGGAAATGGATAATTGCGCGCAAATTCATCGTATTCCTCGCCTCTCTGACAAACGCCACGGCTACGACTTCGGCTATGGCTCTCTCAACGATACAGAATTCATGTGTCGGTAGGCGCTACCTCACTCCATCTTCGTAAACAGCGGCTCCTTTTATGCTTAATTTTTGCTTTGCGAACTAGATACCTAAAATTTTAGATCGAGTGTACTGAAATACCTTTTCCGTCGATGCATGGTATTGTTTGTTTCGCTCATTTAGTAAATGATTTACGAAGACCGCTAATTGCAGTTTTTGGCATTGTAACAACTAGGAGGCATTTTTCTTACACGTTTTGTGTATTTTCCTGCAAGTTCCTTTGTTTCCTATTTGGAGTAAAGACGCCCAAAAAACATGTTCACATACCTCCCTCACATCTGCAACCTTGTAAACACGCGATTTGGTACTGCCTGGAGAATGCTTGTCCGGCCCTGCGCCATTCAACAGAAGCTGATGCTTAAACGTGCTTAGAAGTTTAAGTTTTAGAACTTTCATGCAATCATTTGGGCAACTCAAGGGTGAGCGGAAACTATGTGGAGCATAAATGCAGTTGTTGGTTATGTTGGAATAAGGTGTTTCCTGATGCTGTGCGAACTATCGGTATGTGACTGTCAGGAAATCCGCAAACTAGCGGTATGCTAGCAGAGAAGGATACGAGCGTGGAGTAATAAAGCTGATTTTGGTCACTTGGTGTGCAGGCGTTTCGCCTTTTAGCGTCAGCGGCAATTCGACAGGTCCATTTGGTTAGTTGGAAGTTGGGAGGTCATTTTTGCCGTTTTGAGGGTTCTGCTGAGGGAATAAGTACTGTTATGTTCACGATATTTCTTTATTACTCAATCTAATTACGCAAAATTTAGTGCCTCATCAAAGTGTAAACGCCCTCAGAGAATATTCAACTATTTTTGGGTTCACTACACTCTTAAGTAATTTAGCTGTCTTGAAAACATGATGCATTTAGAAGTTCCATCCATCGTTCTGATTGCTTTATGCAAAAGTACTTGATTACTTTTCCTTAGGGACATTCATAGCTACCATTGCAGCCGTTAAGCAAGCGAATTACCACAAAACTAAGATGCAGACATTGTCAACCTGAGTCTGAACCTCCTGCTTCAGCTCCTCCCGGGGTCAACAGCAGTTGCTCTCTTCGAGGTCCATTTGATTCAGAGACTGCCATGTGTTTTATCAGCATCCCTTATTGCTGAAGTTCGTGACTAAAGGCGTGAAGTTTTTCACGCAGCTGTAGGCAAGCTTTCACTTGTCACAGTAGCCGTCTGCTTCCAAGGTGAAAAGTTGCATTTTTTACTGCTAATGGGTCTAATTAAAGTTGATAAGTGAACTCTCCGCGATAGAAATTAAGAAAAGGCGTGGGCACTTAAAGCTCTTTTCTTGATGCTTAAGAATGTTCGCGATTTCGGTAGTTGGATAGACAATAGCCATAGATGAGAGGGAAAGACGACACTGATAGTTGTCATTACTAAATTTCACCAACTTGATGCCCGAAAAGAAGAAACTTCCATTCAGATGAGAGCGCACTCTTTAACTCGTACTTATTTCCTGGACTGTCATTTTACTACCGGTTCGACTGAATTAGCTTAAGCTAGGTGCGGTGTTTATAGCTGAATTCGCTAACTGGCTGTTGGATGTAAATAGACTTAACGATTCCGTATTATGGGTTGATAAATGACGGAAAATAGGAGCAGTAGACGTGGCACACGGGATCTAAAAGTTCCAAAATTTTTTATCAATTCTGTTCCATGGGGACAATTTTTCAAAAATCCTCCACAAGCAGAATCACAGCAATCAAGTTACAGAAACGTTTTGTCTCAATTACTTAAAATTGGGTCTGATTAAACACCCTGATTGACGTTAATGGATGGAGGCTTCGGTGAGAAGCCTTGATACATTCAGGTTTGCTAATTTACAATTTTAGAACAAAGTATCACATAAAAATCATCAAATGCGTAAAGGAGCGCTGGGAGGCGACATGTGACACCTCTGCGGAGCCAGATTTTCTGAAGGTTGTGTGGGCCCACACCCTCAACACCAAGCGATACGAACGCGCGGCCGCCTACATCTGTCGACAACACAACCTCAGAAGTAGGTGCTTTTAGCTTCACTAAATTGCTCTAATTTTTCACACATTTTTTATCTGCGTAATGCTATGCAAATGCTTGCAAATTTGTAATAGACACGTTTCATCCTGTCCGAGGCCTAAATGTATCGAAGATCACCTCGGACAGGGCAACATAATTGTTGTAACGTAGTGGACAAATTAATCAAACAATCAGCAGTTTATCGTCATCCCCACGTCTTTCTCCGGCAAACTGCATGCATTGACGGGCAGGGCAGGGCTCGTAGTCTCCTAAAAATTCTACCCCAGTCTGATCACTACCTGTATAGCTGCTTAGGCACTTTATGTGAATAAAATGTGTTCTTTAACTTAAATATAGTTAACTACTTGTCGACCACTTTTCGGTAACCTTTTTTAGTAATCCCAGTGGTAGCAAACGGCTGTATCAACTCAACCAAGAATTATGCGGTATTTGTCCTGTTGATGAAAGTGTCTTAAAATTTGTCACGCTCTGCTAGAGATTCCACCTCACAGAGAGAAAGTGCATACCTCTATTAACTCTGCAACGAGTATGAGCGCCTACTCTCCCTTTTGTTGGTACAAATTTGACAGAAATCATAATCCTTAGAGAGGTGGAGCGTCACCTACTGGGAGGTCAAAGCACGACTTGGTATTTCAGGGGTGTTTACTAAACCATTTGGCATTTTGTACAAATGTCAAAACCTTCTAATTGGCGATGTTCTGTCTTTCGCAATCTGCCCGACAAAACTCCAGGCGCGTTCATGTCGAGTGAAACGAGATGGGTGTTAGTAAGCGCCGAATGTGGATATTGAGAGAGCACATCCTTTGAAGATGGGTTTTATCGCCGTGCATAAATAAATATTTGCAGTGCAGGCGAATGTGTCCACCTATCCACCCATCCATCTATGCATTATGTCGCTTCTTGATCCTCGCCATCTCAGCCGAATTCTGTAGGCAGGTGGGCTCTACGTCTTTTTTGTTGCTAAGTTTCCTGCAAAGCCCGAAATCCTGTGGCACTGGATTATTCTGCATAGGACTTTTCGCCGATGACAAGCAGACAAATGTCAAACTCGAGAGTCTCTCCGTGGATCAAGAGCTTTAGTGTAAATGGCTCAACACTTAAGCATAGCTTTGGACATAACAGACAAGAAGATTATCGAGACAACAATAAAATTGGTAAATAGGTTTCCTTATGTGCAACCACCAAACCAGCACTTCTAATTGCAATAAGCGAATTAGTGGAAATTCAGTAGTCATCACAGAGCTGCGTAAATTAAAGCAAAATATTGTTTATCCCTTGTGCCATCAAAGAATAGCAATTATCAAATGATGTAACGACATAGGCGTGCTATGCTTCTGTCTAGACGTCATAGGCGTCATTCAGCTCCTCCCTTCCTCTGTTTGTACACATCTTAGTTGAGCTGGTATGCACAATAAAGCTCATTTTATTTCACTAATTAAGCTGGCGCAGTGTCTGACTTATGTATGAGATGATCAACGTAGGATGGTTAAGAAGTGGGGATTTTATGAACGGATACGAGTGTCGCAGTAGTTGGATTAAGAGGCGGTCAACTATGCAACAAAATCAAGTAAACTTGCGTTGAGGTGTGTTTATTTTGTGTTTGTCGAGTACAGTTTTCCATCAGCACAAGGATGCCTGTTTGCGTGAGGCGGAACCCGCAGCGGAGGGCTGTTCCAGGCAGACAGATGAGTCCATCCAGGAGGTAGTGGGCGCCCTAAAGAATCAGTCAGTCAACGCCGCTCTTGGACTCATCGGTGACACCTACCAGCAGCACCTAAAGAAGATAATGCTGGTCTACGAATGCAAGTGAGTCAGTTCATTTACTGCTCCTTACTTCCATTCTTGCCTTTACAAACCCCATGCACACACCCGCGTCAAGACGCATTTGGCAATAGGTTTTGCTAGTCAGCGCATCTGATATGCAGTAAAAGTTGTAACTCATTCTAGTACCTTTGTGCGTGTCACGTACTCGTTGAATTGCTCAATTCTCTTGTCTTTCAAGCAAAAAGTACGCTGGGTTTTTGGGCACCGCAAAGCTGAGGGTTGAGTGGTTCAACCAGTCTACTTACTACGACGTACATTTTCTGAGTTGTAGAAGGTATTAGCAGTTATTCAACACAATGGATGCACTGATGGATGTCACCGATTCATAACGGCACACTTTCTTCCTCCATGAGATGATTCAAATAAAAGGCCTTTTCGTTTAAAAATGTAATTGGTAGAGACTATATTACGAATTAAAATGTCTTCATATTAATGTTAATGAATTGTATTCAACAAACACCAGGTGCATGTTAAAATGTGCGAATTTCACGATTTTGAGTGCTTCATCAACCGCTGTTTGCAAGACTCAAGCAGAGGTCACATCCCTTATTGCCTTGACTGAGAGTGTCCAAGAAAGCATGATAATTTACCGTATTTTGAATGTGCAGGTTTTTGTTTTCTCACCTTCCACTGACCTGGCAGCTGGTGCGTCCCAACCATTTACCAAACTACTCTTATCACCGATTACCATCGGTTGAATACAGCCGCAATGCTCAACAAGACAGAAGTTAGTCACGCTGCTCAATAGTCAAATATTCCCTAATCAGATGCGGTTGGAAACAAGCAAACACAGTTGTTTTGCCTCGGTTAACCACTAACAGATAATGTCACTCAGCCACCCTCGAAACGGACGTTTGTGGTTTGAGCCTTTGGAACTGTCGGAAATTCGATTCGAGTGCTCGGGTTTGAAGTTGGCATCCTATCTGGCGGTTGGAACTTCAAAACTGTTTTTTTTGCCATTAGTTTCCTGGCGAACATTTGAAGTTCATTTAAACAAGGTTGTAGTGGCAATTAATTAATCACCGGTATTCTTTTCAAACACAATGCGCCAACTAAGGCTATTTACCACTGTCTTCTACTAACCTCCCTACCCACCTTCGATTAATAAATAAAATGCCATGTAACCCTCGCTTTTATCCACTTTTTTGTCTCCAAAAGGAAAAACATCGTCTTGTCACTCCATTTCTGTCCCTCTCTTTACTTTTCAACTGTCACCTCCCTTTTGCATGTAGTCGGGTTATACATCATTGCCGAAACAAGGTAGTTATCACTTGCAACTTAGGTCATTATCAGAGGAAAAAATACGACCACCGAGGAGTGGCGGTTCTTCCTCCGCATCCTCTTCCTCCTACTATTTCACCCCTTTTTCTTACTGCTTCTATTCCTACTCTGCTCCCCACTTTACTGACAAACGATAAGAAATTTCCTCCCAGACAGGTTGTGTTGGACTATGTATGAGGTAGTGTCATACCGTCTTGTGAAGACAAAACAAACCTCCATTGTCACTGATTGGTTGACACATCCTGAGAAGAAAAAGGAAAACCAAATGGAGGTCGAAGAAGTAGTCTCAGCCATAATTGTGCATTGAGTAGAGAATGAACCAATCCACGAGCACTGCTGCCTCTCATGCACTGTGCACACAGACAGCTCGCCTCCAGAGGTTCGAGTAGATCCTTGAGATGATTGCCTTTGCACCACCAGCGGTATGCGTGATCGCGTGAGGCTGCGACACGACAGTCGGTTGTTACCGCAGTTAAGGGAGGAGGCGACAGTCTGAAGAGTCCATCGCGAAGGGAGTGAAGAATGAGTATGCAGCTGCTCCTCTAACGTGCGCACTCTGAGCTTCTGTTTGCTAAATTTCACTTCTCCACATTTCACTTATTCGACGAATGCCCTTGATTATACTTTAGCAGTCTTATATAAAGGGATATCTTTACTTGGAGAAATAAATTGGGATTCTCATCATCCAGACGGTTGTCAGTGCAAAGTATGTTTACCTGTCAAATCTTTTCCACCTTTAAATGGGATTGAGCTTTCAGTAATTGTGTCATTTCACTCATTTTCAGTGGAAAAAGAATGATAGTTAAAATAACTAGAAATTGAGCACATAAGTGCTTTTTGCAATAAAGACCACCAGAGAATGCAGATATGTTTGTCGCAGGAATCAGTCTAAAGCAGTCACTTCTCATAGCTGTCTATGCTGGCCACAAATGGTGGGTAGAAGTTCTACCGACTGTCACGCTGCCTGTCCTTTGAAGCACAGACGATACTGTGTGGCTTAGCTCACCGTTTCCTTCTCTTTTTGCTACAATGAATCAAAAATAGAATTAGGCAGTTCTGAATGGTGTCGCAGTTAGAGCACAAATGCATACGATTTGTAGGTTGTGTAGCCCGTCTCTATTAGTGCTTCCGTGGCAAAGTGTAACACTCCACTTAAGATCCATTGCATTCTTTTTCAAGTGCACTACCACATAATTTGAGGGGAAGACGTCCTTCAGCCTATTTTCTCCTCTCTTGATAGTGTTTCTTTCATTAACTCCCACAAGTGCTACACACAGTTTATAGTTCAAAAATAAGTTTTGGCTCGTCCATAAGTTCGTGCACGCATGGTTTGTAAAGTTGAGTCCTGCGGACTCCTTGGTCTTGGAGAAGCACGACTCTGCCACAATTATGAAGACGTGATCGGCTGATTTCGTTCACTTGCAGGCAAAGCTACCTCCTGCTTGAAAAACCGACCATTTGCATTTCGGCATTCCAGAAAGCGCATATCCTTTGCCTGGTTGTTAGACTTCAACTATGCACAGTATTTTATCATGCTTGCAGCATCCCATTCTGCGACTCCGCGCAAGCTGCACCCTTCACTCCGGTCTCTCACGGAAAAAAGAACGCTGCGAACACTTTAAATTCAGCACTGGTCGTCTAGCATCAGTTCATTTTGGCAAGAGAAAGAAGCACCCATTGAGATATGTACAACAATCTGGATGTCCAAAAAATCCCGACTCCCATTCTTGCCTATTCACCTTGCATTTCCCATGTTAACGCTTTGTTAAGCAAATACACACAGAGACGCGCCCGTTGGGAGCATCAACAGTAGCAATTTCTCCTAATTCTCTAGTGAATTGTGCATTGTAATTTTAATTTCCGGTAAGAATGCCTCAAAAAGAGATCAATGGCTACCAAAAAGGAATACTTTGGAGGTTTTTAAGGAAATCGAGTTGCTCAGGATAATTTTAATTGAGTAAGAGGGGAATTTTGTAGTCTCTTTTCTGGTTTTGTGAAAGAGGAGGCTTTCAAGACAAAGAGTGAATGAAAATCCTTTTGAAATGAAGCTGCATCATTTATCACTTCTTGTGATCTCACCTCAAAACAAAACAGAGCGCCCTATCGAAGGTAATACCTGCTTACTTATTGTTTTAGTTTTATACAATATGCTGCAGACTTTTCAGTTCATCCGCAAAATGAATGTTAAACACTTGCACTCAGTATTAACATGGCTACTAACAGGTGTTATTGGTGTGTTTACTTAGAATGGGCATCAGAAGTGGACCTAGTCATTAACTTCCTCCGTTTCCGACATTACGATGTAGAGCAATGAGGAGGAAGTTGGACTGCCTTTATGCTCTGCTATCATCGCAGTGTCCAGTGAACGCAGTACAACTAATAATGAATTATTTCATTGAGAGCCTGCCCACAGGCTGTCACTACCTCTACCGCAGTGCGGGTAAGGAGGATACAGAGGCGATGACTATGGCAATAGCCAACCCATCGGCCATGCAAGGCGACGACGGCACCCCACCACGTCTCAGTCCGATCCTGCCACTTCACCTCAATGAGGCCCTGCAGTCTCCCTCCGATTTACCTCCAAACCATTGCAGTTGTGGAGTTGGGGCCGACGTGGTCATCATCTTCACAATCCTCATCATCCCCTGGTTCCTTGTTCTCATTGGCTGACGAAGTCATGAGATCATTTGGCGACGTCATCCTGATCTGTAAAGCCTGTGATCCTGTATATTAGAGTTATCCATGATCTTGTACATATCACTATTACCACTAAGAGTCACAACAGTAGAAATGACGTGTGAAGCATTAGCTTCTCCAAAGAGACCGTGGACATTGTTGCGAATTTCGAGCGCTAAAGAATTCCATCAGACAAATATGTTTTGAACAAAGTAACTCTTTACTATGCGGATAGGGTGAATTATCAAATAATAACCCATTATGATATCCCGTTTATAAAAGTTCATGAAGAGTTTTATGCTTAACTAATTTCTATGTGGATGATTGGAGTTTTGAAATGCGCATCTACCGTGCCATTAAGTTAGTCGTCAATTAAGTGTCTTCTTCACCACCCAAAGGCTGTAAAACTTAAGGCGTAAGCATCTTCTGAGGAGGACACTTAGGCGTGGAACTCACAATCACACTGAAACGGTATCAGAGACGATGTACTTCGCGACATCTCGGAAAGAGAAGCATAATCAGCCTCGGAACTACCTAGTCATGAAGTAGAGGT